AATGGCTGATGGAAATTAGTGGATATTCTAGGACCTCATTCCACAGGTAGAATAACTCAGAGGACAGGTGGGCACTATTTCCCAGAGTTCCCCAGAGGGATTAAGTCAGTTCCCATAGGAATAATGTGCTTCCTCCACTGCCTTTACATTCCTGTCTCTTACCACGGCACTTCCCCAGTCTCCTGCCACTGTCTCATAGATCACTTCTTAAGTGAATTACTTGCACTAAAAATTTGTGTCTCATGAGTTACAGGGAGCAACAAGGGGAATGTCCAGACAGAGGCAGGACATAGATATGAACTGAGTAAGGATGAATTACAGTTAGGTGAGAGAAGAGCTGGTCCCTGCAGTAGTGACAGCCAAGGTTACAGATGCTTCTTAATATTTTGGGTTGTTTTCCATCTGTGCCTTTGTACAAGGAATATTCATATATACCATACACATTCAGGTTAAATATACAAAGTTGCTAACTTTGCCCCTTCATACCACTCTAGGTGTCTTTCCGGTTTCCTCTTCTCATTTCATCCCATCTCAATTAAGTGATCTGGCTCCAAATACTTTTTCTTGGGGCAAGTGACCTGAAAGCCCCATATGACATCCTTATAGCCATTATCCTAATTCCAGTGCATTGGCATAAGAACTGTTGGCCAGTCCCCAAAATGGCTCCCACTAACCCTACTGCACCCCAATATGCATAGCTTGTGCAAAATACACTCTCACATTGTTTCAAGGTTGGTCTGTATGACAAAAAGAATATGAGAAAAATGACAGCAGGTGACTTTCAAGGCTAGGTTATCAAAGCTGTTGTGATTTCTGCCTTTCTTTCTCACTTGGATCACTCACTTGGAAAAGCCAGCTGCCATATTGTGAGGATCCTCAAGCAGCTCTACGATGAGGTCTATGTGGTGAGAAATAAAGGCCTCCTTCCAAAAGCCAGCCGAAACCTGAGGCCTCCAGCCCACAGCTGTATGAGTGAGTCCCAGGCCGTATCTTGACATTAACTTCATAAAACCCTCTGAGCCAAAACCACCCAGGTATCCAAACCCAAATGCCTAACTCTCAGAAGCTGCGTTGTGTGAGATAAGAAATATTTGTTGTTTTAAGACACAAAGCTGTGGGGTAAGTTGTTATGCAGCAATAGATAACTAATACAGTGTCACATCTCCACTTTTTACCCAACCTAACCATACCTCTCAATCAAGGTAAATAAGAAAGGAGGAAAGAATTATAGCAAGAGATGATAAACTTCATTTTGGACACCTTGAGGAATATCCAAAAGGAAATGATAGGAGATCAGCATTTGGAAATATGAACCTGATGTCAACGCAGGAAAAAACTAGGGCTGGAGCTCCAGTATATACTGATGAGTTGTCAGATATGAGGACAGCAAAAACACTGTTGTGAAGAAAAAGGCCCAGGAAGTACCTATGCGGTGTAAATTGTTCAAATTTTCCCTCTCAGAAACACTGGTATGGTGGGAAGGGGAAGGTAGAGTTAGTCCGTTCTGACGGTTGGGTTAACAAGAAACCAAACCTGTGATAGGTTTTTCTGCTTTAAAGATTAAAAAATTCAAAAGTCCCAAGGGGGCCAGTATTAGCTACTTATTGCTGCATAGCAATTTATTCCGTTACTTAGTGGCTTAAAATAATAAATATTTATTATCTTACACAGTTTCTGTGAATCTGAAATTCAGAAGCTGCTTATCTGGGTGGTTCTGTAAATGTGTACAAGAGCATTTATCATAATGTTGTCTATAATAGCAAAATATTAGAAACCATCCAAATGTGCAACAATAGGAAATAATCAAAAACTCTGTATCAGCTAAAAATGAGGTTTAAGAACTTTTGGTAACATGGGAAACTGCCCATAATATACTGAAAAAGGCATGTTGTAAAAGTGTACAGTATAAACCCAATTTTATTAAAATTTTTAAGGTATATTAAAAAACTAAAAGTCCATGTGCCAAAATGGTAATGGAACTTACATAAGTTATCTATTGGTGAATAACAGACCTCCTCGGAAATTAGTAGCTTAAAAAAATAACCTTTAATTTGTTCATGATTCTGCAATCTAGATAGTTCTGCTGATGTCTCCTGGGGACACCTATGCAGTTGCTATCGCTTGGTAGCTTGACTGAGGCTAGAAACCAAAGAGGGCTTCACTCACAGGTCTGGCCCCTCAACTAGGATGGCTGGAACAGCTAGGGACTGCATGAATATCTCCTTTCCTTCTCCTTCTCCTCCTCCTTCTCTTCCTCTGTCTCTGTCTTTTTATCTCTCTTGCTGGCTCTCACTCTCACTCTCTCTCTCCATGGTCTTTCCAGAAGGGCAGCCAGACCTCTTCACACAAATTGGCTCATATAATTGTGGGGGTTGCCAAGTCTAAAATCCATAGGATAGGCCCCACAGGCTGAAAATTTAGATAAGGGTTATGGTGCAGTCTTGTTTTTTTTAATTGACACATTGTAATTGTACACTTTTATGGGGTGAAATTTGATGTTTTGATACATGTATGTGTTGTATAATGATCAAATCACAGTATTTGGCATTACCATCACCTCATGCACTCATCATTTCCTTGTGGTGATAACATTCAAAAGCCTCACTTCCGGCTATTTTACAACATTCCATATCTTACTGTTAAGCCTCATCACTCTACTGTGCAATAGAACACCAGAACCTATTCCTCCTACCTAATCGTAATTTTGTACCAATAGACCAACATCTCCCCATCCTCCCCTCTTCTTGCCCCTCCCAGTTTCTGGTAATCACTGTTCTGCTCTGTCTGTAATATCAACTTTTTCTTTTAGTGTCCAATAATAAATGAATGGATAAAGAAAATGTGGTATATGGACACAGGGAGGGGAACATCACACACCAGGGCCTGTTAGGGGGTGGAGGGGCTAGGGGAGGGATAGCAGCGGGGTGGGGGGATTGGGGAGGGCTAACATTAGGAGAAATGCCTCAGGTAGATGATGGAGGGATGGATGCAGCAAACCACCATGGCACGTGTATACTGATGTAACAAACCTGCATGTTCTGCACATGTACCCCAGAACTTAAAGTATAATATGAAAAAAAAAAGAAAATGTGGTGTATATATACACAATGGAATACTATTCAGCCATAAGAAAGAGTGAAATCCTGAAATTCACCACAACATGTATGAACCTGGAGGGTATAGTGTTAAGTGATATAAGCCAGACACAGAAAGGCAAATACCACATGACCTCACTCATAGATGTTGTAGTCTTGAGTCTGAATTCCTCAGGGCAACGGGCTGGAAACTCAAGCAGGGCATCTATGTTATAATATTGAAGGAATTATTTCTTCCTAGGAAAACCTCAGTCTTTGTTCTTAAGACCTTCAATTGATCGGATAATGGTAATTTGTGATAGGTAATCTGTTTTACTAAAAGTCTACTGATTTAAATGTTAATCACATTTAGAAAATCCCTTCACAAAAACATCTAGACTAGCGTTTGACCAAACAACCAGGCACCGTTGCCTAGTCAAGTTGGTGCATAAACTTACCTATCATACATGGCCAAGCTCAGAGTCATTGTTGGAGGGGGCTACACAAGGGCATGGATACCCAGAAGCATTGGTCATTAGGAGCCACCAACAGCAAATATATCTGGATGGCAGGTTTTTCCTTTTCTTATGTATGTTTTTCCTTTTCTTCTCTATGTTTCAAATGTTCTGCAAAGAGCACGTATAACATTTTGGGACAATAATAAATGTTATCATTTACAGACGTTATTTTTAAAATGTAAGATACACAGAAAAGTACAAATCAAATCATAAGAATTCTTATATATCAGAAATGATCAGGGTTAACATTTTGTGATCTTCCTGCAGACTCCCTTTGATACTTATGCAGACATTAGGATAGAAAGAGAGGGTGGAAAAGATGAGAGGGACAGAGAGATTTCTAAAACTGAGATAATCTTATAAATGCTATTTGCAAATTTAATTTTTTTCTTGAATGTAACAGAAGAGAAAAAAAGAGAATTTGTAAGATTTATAGTATATCAAATAAATATTTCTCCATCCCTAAGAGATATTACTACTTACAAATTACTCTAAGGTTAAAAAAAAGAAAATATTATGAAAACTATTAGGAAGTTGCAGCTATATTTTTTTAAGTAGAATTTTAAGTAGTTGACTAACTCGCTGTTACAAGAAGCATGGAGGGGATAATACTTACACACTTCCACCTTCCCTTCCTCACCTTCCAACCAGATTGGCTTTGCCTTGCCAGAGTTTATAATAGCAGCATTCTATTCTGCAACCATAATTTGCCTAGAACAGTAGTTCTTTATTTAAAGAACTCACTGCTCAACACCAGGCTCTTTTTACAGCCTTGCCAAACCTGATCTCATCACCAAAGGGCTTTGGCTTTATGTAAGCAGGTTTTGTAGATGTACCACTCCACTCCCACTGTTATTTCATATTTAAGACTGCTTATCTGTTGCCTTCATACACGGACAACTGCTTGGATGCATATAATTTTCTGAGGCCTCTCCAAGCCTCAGAACTGTATAAATATTGCTCCATTATCTTTGAACACAGAAAATTACCATAGTGTATCTGAGGATGCGCTAATTTTTCCCACTGTCAGAGACTACTTTGTACCTAGATGCCTGAGGAATGCCTTCTTTATTCTTTAAGTTTAATAATTCAACCTAGAAAAATCCCTGATGTCTGTCATTCTGAGTTTGTTTTTCATGGCATGCAAGGTACCCTTCCTAACTACAGATCTGAGTCTTCTCTGAATTCTTCCTCGGTCCTTTTGTTGGATTTTTTCCTGCAGGGACGTCAATTATCTTATTTTGAATCATCTTTGTTTCTCTTTCTCTTCTAATTATTTAATTTCTTTTTCTTCTGCATTCAGTGTGATTATCTCTAGCTTTCCTTTCATACCATTAATTCAGTTTTTAGCTGTGTCTATTCTGTTCCTTGCTATTTTATGTTACTTTATTTCAATTCATTTCCTTAGATCTGCAATCTCCTTTTACAACTCATTCTGTTGTTTTATCATCTCATCTTTGAGCTCTTGTTTTATTACATTTATATTTCTACTAATTTATTCTCTACAGGAAAACATTCATGAGGAAGCCACTTTTATCACCCAATTTATGTTTCTTCTAGATTGGGTTCTGGACTTTTCCATACCATGCCTGACTTTTCCATATCATGCCTGACTTTTTGACTAATTGATTTTCCTGTAGTATGTCTGCCTAGTTGCTCTGTCATTTCTTTTCATCTTGCTTATGCTTAATATAAACATTTCTGTCTCTGACAGTCTTCTCTCCCCTATACATTCACCTTCCCCTACTTTGAACTTCATTCTGAGGCCTGGATGTTGTCAGTCTAGCCATTTTTCTGTAGCCTGAGAGAAGCCAGAGCTCAGCCAGGAATTAGTTTTGCTCTTGTTGAGGAATCTGTGCTCCAAGAGCACAGTGCCTTGTGTCTAGGAGACCACTAAATGCCTAGGACCAGGGCCCACTGCCTACAGCCACAAGAGTGACCGACCCACCCCATGGGCTTTGGCTCATCCTCCATCCAAGCCCAATGTCTTGGATGATAACAAGCCCTCTACCCTGCTAGTAGGATTGCAAACTGATAACTATCTTTCCAGAAAACAATTTGGCAATAGGTATGAATATCTTAATATTTGTAACTCTGATCCATAATATCTCTTCTGAGATTCTAGTTGGAAAAAAAGAAAGAAAATACTCAATTGCAAAAAAAATTCTTTGGAGCATCATAGATAATGGCAACAAATTGGAAACAAGTTAAATGTTCAGCATAGAGGCATATTGTGATAAAGGTTACAGCAAAAAAAATAAGGTTTATGAAGAGATTTTAAAGATATGACTAAATTCCTATAACGTTATACAGAGTAAAAAATCATAATACTAAATTAAACATATGGTAACATCTCAATTATGTTTTCAAAAGGCATAGGAACCACACCTAGGAAGAACCACTAGACCAAAACTCCAGGAGTTCAGGAACCATGACTGTTTTGTTCACTCCTATGTAACCAGAACCTAACATAGTGCTTGGCACATAACAGACACAATGAATATTTATGAATAAATGAGTAAAATTAATTCAAAGCAAAATAAATGTATCTCAGGTCTCAATAACAAGAATAATTTTGTTTCTGACTGGCTTTGACTTTATAGATTTTTGATCTTGCTTTGACTAGTTGAAATTATGACACATTTGATCTAGCTGGGATAGAGACTCTTACAAAATACATTTTGTATGTCGCCATCTCATTTTCCCTACCCCTATTTTCTCTTTGACAGGAACCATTTTTCAAAAAAGCAGCCTTGTTGAGATATAATTTATATACCATACCATTTACCCATTGTATGTGTACATTTTAATAATATTTAGTAACTTTATAGCATTATCAAAACCTAGTTTTAGAACAGTCTCAATACCACCCAAAATTCCTTCAGGCTCATTTGCAGTCAATCTCTATACCCTCCCGCTACTCCAAAGAACAACTGATTAGCCTTCTGCCTATATAATTGTCTTAACTGCATATTTTATACAAATGAAATCATACAATATGAAGTCTTTAGCAATTAGCTTATTTCACTTAATGCTTTTGAGTTTCATCCATGTTGTAGCTTGTATCAATACATCACTCCTTTTCATTGCTGAATAGCATTCCATTGTATGGATAAACCAAATTGTGTTTAGCCAGTAGATGGACATTTGGGTTGTTTCCAGTTAGAGGCTTTATGAATAATATTGCTAAGAACGCTCTCATGTAAGTCTTTGTGTATACACATGTTTTCATTTCTCATGAGTAGACTCCTAGGCATAGAAATGCTGGCTCATATGGTATGTTTCTATTTAACTTTTTTAAAATGCCAAAGTTTTTTCCAAAGAGGCTGTACCACTTTATATCCCACTAGCAATGTAGGAGTGTTCCATTTTCTCCACACCCTGGCCAATACTTCGAATCATCTATTTTCCTTGATTGTAGCCATTCTAGTGGTTATATAGAGATACCACATTTAATTTTTAATTTGTACACCCCTATTGACTAATAATGTTGATCACTTTTTCATGTAATTGGCAATCACTTATTCTTTAGTGAAATTCCTATGTCTTTCTCCATTTTTTAGTTGACTTTTCTCATTATCAAGTTTTAAGAGTTCTTTATATATTATGGATAGAAATCCTTTATTAAATATACTATATGCAAGTATTTTCTCCACGTCTGTGGCTTGTCCTTGCATTTTTCTTTTTCTTTATTTTATTTTACTTGATGGTGTGTTGTAAAGTGCAAAATAGTTTTCATCTTTAATGATGTCTAATTTATCATTTTGTTCTTGTTTACCTTAAGTTTTTGATGTTATATTCAAGAACTCTTTGCCTAACCCAATATCACAAATATTTTTTGTGATTTCTTTTAAAAGTTTTCTAGTTTATCTCCTATATTCAGATTTTTTAGCATTTCAGTTAATTTGTATATTGTATAAGGTAAGTGTCTAAGTCCATTTTTATTTTTTCAGGTGGATATTTAGTTGTCCTAGTACCATTTGTTGGAAAGACTATTCCTTCATCATTAAATTATCTTGATACCTTTTTTTGAAAATCAATTGACCATAAATGTAAGAAGTCTCAGTTTTGTTTCATTGATCTACATGCCTGTTCTTATACCAATACCACACTGTCTTGATTACTGAAACTTTTTTTTTTTTTTTGAGACGGAGTTTTGTTCTTGTTGCCCAAGCTGAAGTGTGATGGTGCAATCTCAGCTCACTGCAAACTCCACCTCCCAGGTTCAAGCGATTCTCCTGTCTCAGCCTCCTGAGAAGCTGGGATTACAGGCACTCACCATTACACCTGGCTAATTGTTGGTATTTTTAGTGAGACAGGGTTCCATCATGTTGGCCAGGCTGGTCTCAAACCCCGATCTCAGGTGATCTGCCTACCTCAGCCTCCCAAAGTGCTGTAATTACAGGCATGAGCCACCGCAACCGGCTGATTATTGTGACTTTACATTAAGCTTAGAAATCAGGTAATATTAGTTTTCCAATTTGGTCCTTCTTTTTCAAAATTGGGTTTGCCATTTTAGGTCTTTATATTTCCATATAAATGTTAGGATTTTCTTGATGTCAAGATACTACTGTAATAGACAAAGTTCCAAATCAAGTAAGCCTCTTCTGGAAGTGGTAGCAAAACAATTGGATTTCATGGCCTCTCCTACCCTATCCTGGAGGAACTACTGCACCAGTAGAGCTGGAATGAAGATGGGAGCAACCCCAGATGAAAACATTATAGATGTTTACTGCTATTAACCATGACTCAGTAGTTTTCATAAATAAATGCTTTGGTCACTTTCCAGTAGACTGAAATTAGTATTTTTATAGTTTTATTCAGCTTTATAGTTGCACTGGGAAGGAAACATCTGTTGACCCCCTCACTTAACCACACTAAAAATCAATCAGGAAAACTTTTCCTTGAAGGTTTATCTTGTTTTTAATTGACACATAATAATTATACATATGTATGGGGTACAGTGTGATGTTTTGATATATGTATACACTGTATAATGATCAAATTAGTACAATTAGCATATCCTTTACCCAAATATTTATAATTTCTTAGTGAACACTTTCAAAACCATCTCTCCTAGCTATATGCAAACATGCAATACATATTGTTTATTATAGTCATCCTACTATAGATAGAAAGCAATAGAAAACCAGAAATTGTTCCTTCTATCTAACTATAACTTTGTAACCATTGACCTACCTCTCCTCATTCTTCCATTTCCAATATTCTCCCCAGCCTCTGACAACCACTATTTTACTCTCTACTTCTATGAGATAAACATTTTTAGGTTCCATATATTTGTGAAATCACATGGTATTTGTTCTGACTGTGCCTGGCTTATCGCACTTAACATAATGTTCTCTAGATTCAACCATGTTGTTGCAAATAACAGGATTTTATTCCTGATATGATTTGGGTCTGTGTCCCCACCCAAATCTCATGTCAAATCCTAATTCCCATTGTTGGAGGTGGAGCCGGGTGGGAGCTTAGTGTGTCATGGGGACAGATTTTCCCTTTGGTGCTATTCTTGTGATAGTGTGTTATCATGAGATCTGATTGTTTAAAAGTACATAGCACCTCCCCCCTGCTCTCTCCCTCTTCCTCCTGCTCTGATGTGAAGACACACCTGCTTCCCCTTTGCCTTCTACCATGATTGTAAGTTCCCTGAGGCCATCCCAGGCATTCCTTTACAGCCTGTGGAATAATGAGCCAATCAAAACTCTTTATGTATAAATTACCCAGTTTCAAGTATTTCTCTATAGAAGTGTGAGAATGGGCAAACACAATTTTTTATGGCTGAATAGTATTGTGTGAATAATAGCTTGCAAAAATTTTCTTCTATTCTCTACATTATCTGTTTACTCTGTTGATAGTTTCTTTTGCTGTACAGAAGCTTTTCAGTTTAATTAGGTCTCGTTTGACAATTTTTGTTTTTGTTGCAGTTGCTTTTGGTATCTTCATCATGAACTCTTTGCCAGGGTCTATGTCTAGAATAATATTTCCTAGGTTGTCTTCCAGGGTTTTTATAGTTTTAGGTTTTTACATTTATGTCTTTAATCCACCTTCAGTTGATTTTTGTATATGATGTAAGAAGTGTCCAGTTTCAGTCTTCTGCATATGGCTAGCTATCCCAATACCATTTATTGAATAGGGAATCCTTTCACCATTGCTTGCATTTGTCAACTTTGTTGAAGATCAGATGCTTGTAGATGTGCAACATTACTTCTGGGCTCTCTATTCTGTCCTATTGGTCTGTGTGTCTGTTTTTGTACCAATCACATGCCATTTTGGTTACTGTAGCCTGGTAGTATAGTTTGAAGTTGATACCTCCAGCTTTGTTGTTTTTGCTTAAGATTAACTTGGCTATTTGGGCTTGTTTTTTGTTCCACATAAATTTTAGAATCCTTTTTTTTCTAATTCTGTGAAGAATGACATTGGTAATTTGACAGAAAGAATATTGAATTTGCAAATTACTTTGTGCAGCATGGCCATTTAACAATATGAATTCTCCCTATCCTTGAGCATGGAATGTTTTTCCAACTGTTTATTCATCTCTGATTTCTTTCAGCACTGTTTCTTGTTGTAGAGATCTTTCACCTCCAGGGTTAACTGTATTTCTAGGTATTTTATTTTGGTGGGATCTCTTATGAATTGGATTGCATTCTTGATTTGGCTCTCAACTTGGATGTTATTGGTGTATAGAAAGGCTACTGATTTGGGTACATTCATTTTGTATCCTGAGACTTTGCTCAAGTTATTTGTCAGACTGAGGAGCTTTTGGGCAACAACTATGGGGTTTTTCAGATATAAAATCATATCATCTGTGAAGAGAGATAATTTAACTTTTTCTCTTCTGTTTAGATGCCTTTTATTTCTTCCTCTTGCCTGATTGCTCTGGCTAGGAATTCCAGTGGAATATTGAATAGGAATAGTGAAAAGAGGCATCCTTGTCTTACTCTGGATTTCAAGGGGAATGTTTC